CAGTGACTCTTTAAAGAATAGCCAGGTACCAGTTATCACAGTCATTTACATATTTAGATGTATTTACGTATTAGAGCCCATATAGCTCAGAAAATCTCAAACTTACTAGGAAGTCAAGGTTGGCCTTATGCTTTTGATCCTTCTGCTTCTACAACCCCTACTCACTATGTAGCCTAAGTTGGCTTTGTTCTTAGGATCCTTCTGTTTATACTCCCTCCTCCTCCCCCCACCCCCTAGCTTGTCAACAGCCGGGAAGACAGGCATACATGACCATGTCCAGCTTCTGGGCTTTTAAAAAAGATATGTAAGAACTCCAAACACTCATCCTTTTCTCTGGATTTTAAGTGATAAATCACAGTAAAGGGAAAGAGGGGAAACAGTTCTCCTTTTGAATACGGTAAGACTAAGAACCATAAAGCACTGGAATGGGCAAAATCTCTAAAAAGGGGATCTTAGAAATGAGATGTTTAAGTACGGTCCTGAAATACTGAAGGCAGGTCAGCCATTGAAAGTGTTCCTACAGACTAATTAATTAGAGAAAACAGGAAAGGACACTGATACTCTGCTAAAACACATGCTTGCATTTAGAGAACTTCATCTGTGGATCCAAGAAACCTAAATGATAAAACACAATATGAGAAGAGCTCTAAGTAAGGACAAGATCACTATAGCACAGAGATGCTTAGGAGGTGGAATGCAAGACTCAGAAAGGAAGTCAAAGCATAGAGGAAGGAAGAATTAAGCCATACTCTCTGTGTATGTGGTGCATGCACATATGTAGGAGAATGTGTGTCCATGTACATGGATACAGAAGTCAGAGAAGGATGTTGGTTAACTTCCTCTATCATTTACCATCTTACAAATGAGACACGGTCTCTCTGATCCTATTTAGTCTACACTGGCCAGGACGAGCCCCGGAGATTCATGTGTCTCTGACACCCAAAGCTGGGGTCTTAGGAGGCATAGCCACACTTGGCTTTTTCATGGGTGCTGAAGATTTAGATTCACATCCTCTTGCTTTCACAGGAAGTGCCCTTCTCTGTGATGATATCTTGCACAAGCTCCATTCTTTGATCCCCAGACAGGCTTTATTTGTACAAGCAAGATATCTCCATACTTTTCCAGTCAGCATCTCCCCCCACACTTAACTATATCACTTTTTAAAACAAAGGGTAAAGCTTGTGGTTTATGATTGTTTAAGGAGACCTTCACCACTTACTGCCTGGCTCTGTAGGTAATGATGAAGTATTATGCCTTATGGCCAGTCCTCCAAACATTACAGGAATTATATTATAACACAAAACTCAGCTTGGAAGGATTCACTGAGTTAGAATATGTAAAATACTCTGAACATTGCTGGAACCTCCTTTCCCTTTAGCTTCGATTATTCAAAATCTCACCTTGATGAGAGGATTATTAGAGAGAAAGGGAAGAAAGAGGAAATTAAGGCTAATTTTCTTTATTTCGTATCAGTCAACTGTGACAAAAGACTTGTGTTCTAACTTAAATAAACATGACTCGAAGTTTGCCTTCAGCCTCTGTTTGAACTGCCTCATATTATGTTCACATTTTCACTGACCACCATTTCCATAAATAATTTAGCATAAGCTGCCTGAGGTTTTTGGAAACAAAAATATTTGACATTTTAATAAACATAACGTGAAAAAGAATTCAAAAGCCACTATACTTACACCAAATAAATTAATTAGAGATAATTTTGTTTTGTAAACAAAAGACCATTATGCTTATAAATACATTAAAACATAACTAGTACCCTTAAATGAATACCAAATTAAATATAAAAACAACATTTGGAAAACCCAAGTGGTATATCAAAGCATTCTAGAAGTTAAAGTTATTTTCAATGATCTACTTTAAAATTATACTAAGAAAGCTGGACATGTTGTCATATTTCCATAATCTCAACCCTTAGAGAATGATGTGAGGAGATCGAGAGCAGTATGAGCTACATTAATAATATGCAGGCTATTATGAGCTCCATGTCAAGACTATTTCAAAAACTGAGCAAGTATAGCCAGAACATTTCTGAACATATATGGAGAAGAGAAGAGGCAAAGTGAGATATTCTTCAAGTCAAAATAAAAAAAGGGAAATCAAACTGAAAAATTTAATATTCATTTCCTGAAATAGTCTGAAGTTGGAAATAAGTACCCACCTTTAAGGTACTTATTTGAATTACTGCTTACTTTTACGAAAAGATGTATCTTTATATAACTCTAGTAGAGTGAAAAGAGTTAGTAAATGGCTTATGAATGAAGGCCCATCAACATATGCTAGGAATATCAGTAAGTGGAGACCCAACTTAGCTATGTTTAAGGACAACAGGAAGTACTCCAATTGGAGGGATGTAAGGCACAACAGTTACCCTGGACACATTTTTGTATATAGCTAACTTTTATTTTGGACACAATACTTTCAAACATAATATGCTATTGATTTAGGAACACTCAAAGGAAAGGACTGCATAATAGTCAAAGTGAAATTGCAAGGTACAGCTTTTGCAATGCTAGTACAATAGCTTTGTTGAGATAACAGAGAGTGGATGAAGGAAGCCAGATAGACAATATTTATCTACATTTGAACAATGCTTTCAACCCTGTGTTGCATATCAGCATGCTGAGAAATTAAGATATGAGTTGTATAGATGATGTGACAGAGTGAATTACTAGTGGCTTCTAGATCTGAAATAAGGGATTATTATCCATTCAGATATAGAAGTTCATACCAATGTATCTATCTCAAGTTTTAATATGCAGCTAGACTAATTATGTGAAATAAAATAAATGTAGCTTATACATTAATCATCTTCAGGGAAAGGTTAATTTAATAGAATTCAATATAATCCACCAGAAAAAAAATTTGGAAGAAACAGTAACAAAGAATCTAAAAAGTGACTGATTTATCTATACAAAACAAGCACAGGGAACCTCATCAACAGAAGATGTGCCTTTCATATTTTAGTATCAGTGTCATATAGGTTAATTAGTTGAATTTTTCTTCTATAATATATTGTTTTCCAGTTTTTTATGCACAGAAAAATTCTTAAGATAAAATCATACGGCAAATACTGATAGCATTTCTTATTATTTAACTTTGTTGCATGACTGTAATTCATTAGAGCAACTGTGTTAACAGGTAAGGTCTTATCTTGGAGAAAGGACATAGCGGAATTGGCAAGCACTTTCAATGTTATTATTTAAAATCCAATAAGCTAGTTGAGTCTGGACTTAAAAGAATAAAAGGCAACTGGCCATCATGTAATCATTTGTTCATACAATAATTCTATATTTCTATTATGTGTGAGGCATTGTGATACTAGGTCATGTATAGTCCTGTAGTGTACATTTCAGTTAGCATTACAGAGTTGGGAAAAGGCAACTAAAACAGCTATTGTTGTAAGGCTGGGATTTTTCAACAATTCTCAGATACTTAAGTAGAAAAGGTACTATATATCATATACTTTAAAGACTGCTTAACATAGTTAATCTAAGTTCAAGAATATTGTAAATAGAGTTACAACATAATACTCTAATACCTGTAGGTATTAAAATAACTTAAAGTATCTTTTTTGAAGGATGAAGGACATTTAGAACCAATTTATGATAAAGAGATATTAGAAATATCAGCATATTGGTTATTATTTGGAAAGGCAAGATTTGAAAACATTCTTTTTATCAGGCTAAGAATTCATATTACATTTGTTTATATTTCATCATAATAATGCTAAAATCTGCAAATACTAGCATTTCTTATTTTTCAAAAATTGGTAAAACTGTAAGATCTGAATGAATGCCAGTAGGATAAAATACTACAAAAATGGTTGACTATAACATGCACTACTTGTGACAGACAGAACCACATATTTTATAAGGTCAGTGTTATCAATTGATTGTATTGATTCAATGCCATACAGCACTTCAGATCCCTTAGACTGTTTTACATCCAGAGTTCTATCTACTAGTCTACAGCACACCACAGACATCAGTGAAATCAGAGAATGCATTGAATGGAGGCCTCATTGTGCAACGGTAGCGTGTCTGACTCTGGAGAATGCACTGAACTGCAAATGTCAACAAGTCCACTTTACAGAGCCAAGAGAAGAGAATTTGCTAATGGTTTTTGCCACCAGAGTTCATTTCCTCAGGGTGTTTTAACATTAGCTGATCATAGATAAGAGCATACAGTCAGGATTTCTGCAGGTCAAATCAGCAAGAATGACATACACATACTTGTGCATGTGTTTTAGTTTGAATACATGTCTTTGTAGAGTTATGTACCAAAGCCTACAGAGCTTTCCTATAGGTTGGCACTAATGCTTGGATCTGATGGGGTGCTGATGTTAGCATTTTAAACTTCCAAATGCAAACATTTATGGTTTTGCTGGGTCGCAGAATCTAACCAGAGATGAAAAACACAGTTTTGGGGGTGGAGGGGTCTTGGCTGTTATGGTAAAAATCTGTTTGAATTAGAATAAAATTTCAACTTTTTAATTTACTCAGTAATATACAAAGCTAAAATTTGCACTCAACATATTATCAGTCTTTCAACTTCTCACTACATATTCCTTTTTATGAGCTTTTGAGAAACTGAAAGATTCATAATTTGTTCTAAGTGTTTGTGTAAGAGTGTGTGGATGAATGTGCTTACCACAGTGCTAATGTGACAGTCAGTGGCTAACTTTCTGGTGTCTGTCCTTCTACTATGTGGAACACAAGGATAGAACTCAGGTGGTAAATCATGGGGGAAAGTGTTCTCTGCCACTAAATCATCTTAGTGGCCTTTTAGAATGTTTTCAAACTAATTTTACGCTAGCAAACATTAGTGCCAAGCAATGGTCATAGTGTAATGCTGTTACTTAGTTTGCGATTATGAAACGGCATGAAGCTCTGTGAAGGCATATTCTATGGCCTATCCAGGGAATACAAGCATTGTGCCAAATAGTTACTCCTTAGGGGGCAAAAAGAATCATATATATTTACCTTCTTCTTTTCTTCTTTTTGCTTCTTCTTCATTCCTTTCTTTGGCTTTTAATGCTTCATCAGCTTTTGCTGTAAGAAAACAACAAAATTTCCTGCATTTATTTTGTGTATATCTTGTAAATGAGAACAGTGGGCAAAGGAAACAGAAATTTAATGTTTATTTCCATGAAATTGTCATAAGAAAGAAATATGGCAGTTATGAATTAAAAGTACATATTTGTATTCTCCATTCAGAATTTATATCCAGAATACTTATTTATAATCCCAGATTCTTAGTTCAAATATCCTTTGTAAAAAAAAGAAAATGAAATTGAGGAATGTGAAGTTAAATCATGACATATGAATTTGGAAAAACAGTTGGTTATTAAAAGCCAGTTGATTTACCAGTGTTTGGAGGACTCAAATTTGATCTATAAGAAACTTGCAGTATCTGTGCTGCAGTATCAGATTAGGTGGAGCTTTGTTCTCTCTTTTTCATGCACATCATAATAGAGCTTTATTCATGTTATGACAGCATTTACTAAAAAGGATCTTTTTTTCTCTCTAGAACCTCTTCCCTTATTACTTAATTATCTACTAGTTGCTCAACTGCAGGGGTTTTTCAAACACTTTACTACAGATGTTAAAGAAGATTAAAAATATACAGCACAGTAACATGGGACTATCAATATACTCTGTAAATTAATTAAATTTCTGTTCTAGCACATCATTTATTCCGAAGCATTAACGTCTCAAAGGAGCGATTCTCCTTTATTGCCGTCTTACTGCCTGATGAGTGAACTAAGCGAAAATAAGTCTCTAATAGCATTAGAGTTGATGAAATATTAAGTTAAAAAAGTATTGCCTCGTCAAAAGAAAAAGAATCAGACCGTGCCAGCATTAAACTTTGGATCAGCCTTTATCATAATGATAACAGCAACTAAAAACTGTGACTTTAAAAAACATACTGCAGTTGTTGCTGCAAATATGTCTCCTATACAAAATTAATGTATCTTTATACCTATAAAATCTGGCCAAAAGAAGGGATTTAAGGAAAATTCATGTAACATAAAAAATTAATTTTTCTTCAAAGTTTGATTTTCTCTACCATCATTACTGACACTTATTCTTAAGGTATAAAACTCACATAATGGGGTTATGAGTGCTATATCTAATGACATAGACATCTGTTTCCATTTATAAGCTTTTATATATACTTACACTGTATTTAAAGTCATGAAACATTAAAGCTTTATGTCATTTTACATCATTGCAAAAATCTACTAAATTAGATAATAAAAACAAACCAGCAGTAACTCTAAAGACTTTTACTTCATTTACACTTTATTCACCCTGGTAGAAGGACAAGGATAATAGAAATTCCATTTAAATTCAATTTTGGTTATATGTGTAATTGTAGATATACCCCTTGAGTCATGTAAAATGCTCGGCTTATGTTTCTTTCAAATTATCCCGCTCAGATTCCCATTCTACTCCTTACAACCATCTTCAATATGTATTAGCAGAGCTCATTAGGCTGAAATTTAATAATGCAAACATCAGGTGCATTTCAAGAGCCTCCATTAACAACGTAAGATGGATTGCTTATATATAACTCTTGGGCCAACCGGGCACAATTTAAATTCAATAAAGTAGCCTGCCTAAATCTGATTTATCTATTTGACTATGCTGGTTTGTCCTTTCTTACTGATTTGTTGCTATACATGGACAATTCATTGGAATATTATTTTGTATGCTTTTAAAAAACTGAAAATGGTTCTGGTGCTGTGGTTAAATATTTTATGTAATTCATCTTCATACTGTCAATCAAGATTCTCAAGTATTTGGGTATGCATGTAAATAAAGAATCCTGTGAATTTTGTTGAAATAATATGGATAATCCACTTTTTTCTTAGTATGTGTTAGTTTATTTTAAGCTCCTGGACAAAACCTGGCTTAACTTAATTATAAAAAGTTCAGTAGGGGGCTGTAGAGTTGGCTCAGCCCTTAAGTGCACTTTCTGCTCTTTCAGAGGACCCAGGTTTGTCTCCCAGCACCCACCTGACAGCTCACAACTGCCTGTAACTCCAGGCTAGTACAGGGGAAAGGGGTTTTAGGGGAGGGCTTTGGTCCTGCCTCAACATGGTGATGGGACAGAATTCCTTGACTCTCCATGGGAGGTCTTACCCTCTCTGAAGATCAGATAGGGGTGGGTGGGTTGAGGGGAAGGTGGCGGGAGTGGGGAGAGAGGAGGGAGCAGGAACTGGGATTAGTATGTTTAAAAAAAAAAAAAAAAACAAAACAAAACCTAAAATGAACTATTAAAAAAGTACACAGTGGTCACTATGTCCTCCATAAGGAATATGAGTGAATTCACTTAGAGAGAATATATATTAAAAATGAACCATCAGGATAAACTCCTCTTTGATTATTAGAGGAGTGTGGCATAATCAGCACCCCCAAACAGCTTTATGTTATTATAATGTAAATGTGGAAAGAAGCAGAACTTCTCTAGTCATCCGTATATAATTTAATTTACCTGAAAAACTTATATTGCCCAAAGTTAAAAAATTCCATTATCCCTATAAAACAGTATATATTGCTATTGGCTGTACCCAAACTGAAAGATTTAGTAACTTTCATCCTTAGAGTCAGGTAGTACTTCAGTCAGGAAAGCCATAGGTGATGTCTGTTCTTAGTTCTTTGTCAATAATCAACCAACATCCTTGATACCCTAATATTTCCTCATCTCTACTTCTACTTACCTTCAAATTTTCACATCAGTCAAGATTACTACCATTTTTGCCTTGTTTTATAAAATAAACCCATTCACTTGTGTTTTAAAGCCTATTCTTTTTCATAGCCTTTGGGAGTCTTGGTTCTTAAGGTTCAAATGCTTTATTCTCCATCTTCAACCACAAATACACCGAGTCTCACAAACTCTGCATAGTGCTTACCTTTCTTCCAGCACTGCTACTACCTTCTCTCCTTTAAAACAGCTGCCTCACCCCCAGGTTGCAGTGGTCATGAAAAATTCTTTTATAGCTAAGTGTAATGGCCACCTTAGTTATATTCTCTTTGTTTTGTAAGATTGGCTGTGGATATAGCTCAATGGTAAAGGGATTGCCTATTATGTGTGAGACCACAGATTCTATACATCACAAATAAATAACTATCTTTTCTAAGTGCTCTAATATTCTCACAGTGTTTTGACTGCTCTCTTTCACTACTTCAATTTCTGTTTTCGGGTAGCACATGGAAAACCTAAGTTATCTATAAACCTTTCACAAATATACCTACCTATCCATAGTCCCTTTCCTGAGCATTAGAACTACCCACTAGATATTTCAAAATTTTGCTTATAGTTGAACCCACAATCTTTCCCTTATTGTTTCCTAGGACCTCTTCCCTTAGTATATCCTGCTTTTTAACCCATCATCTAATCTCTTGAACTCACAGTTTTGTGACATTTCCCTCCAGCTCTTATGCTTGTGCAGTATGGCTGATCATCAGCTCTGTGAGATTATCACTAGAATGTGCTCACTCCTTTCCATTTTCAGTAGTCACACTCAGATCATCTTTGTTCTCATGTTACTATTTTATTCTGCCCTACTAATCACCTTCCTTCCAATGCATTTTGCACATGACCATAAGGGCAAGGAATGCATTCACTGCTTTATATACTCAGAAGCACTGTCTTTAGAGAACAAAGAAAATGTTGACAAAATGAATATACTTTTATAAAGCCCCCAAATAATCATGGCACAGTGGAACCACATGAAACATGTGCATATACAGAGTACTACATACCATATATATATACTTCTAGAGACATTGAACCCAAGTCCTTAGCATGCCATTTGAAGCCCTTCAGAATCTGCAATCAAGGTTCACTATTCTTCCCTCCTCACCAGGGATCTGTATTCTGGCCTTCTTGGGCTTTTTGTTAGACTACATCTTTTATTCTTAACCCCCCCCCCCCGGGACAGGGTTTCTCTGTATAGCTTTGGAGCTCATCCTGGAATTCACTCTGTAGACCAGGCTGGCTTCGAACTCACAGAGATCTTTCTGCCTCTGTCTCCCAAGTGCTGAGATTGACATTAAAGGGATGTGCCACCACTGCCTGGTTTACACACATCTTTGTTCTTGCTGGGGTACCCATTTTGTTTTCTTACTGAGAAAACTGTAGCTGGAAGTTTTAGCTGAAATACCACCTTTTTTTGTGAAACCCTCCCTGATCAACAACTTCCAAATCTGTCTGTCAAGGACAGATTTGTCATTCCATTGCCAAAGTCATGAAGAACTAAAAGCAAGGACAGAAAAGGAGTGAAAATGACTTTGTAACTCTCACTTTCTTTTCCCAGCCACTGGTTGAATTTCTGTCCTAAAGAAGGCAAACCCCAAGTAAAATGAATCTGGGTTGCTGAATTTCTGCAAAGAGCACTATTTTCTTTATGACTGGCACCACAGTATGACACAACACAAAATATAAGCATGTTGTTTGTCAGCACTGTTATTTTCACATTGTCATAGCAGATTACCCAAGTCTCCTTAATAAAGTAGGTGTTCAATGAATGGTTCCAAAACAAATGAATGAAAAATACTTAGAAATGAAATAAAGATATTATGTTGTTCCTCCAGAAATAAAATCTTTCAGAACACAACTCATCTGAGGCTGTTTTACTAGAGTGGCAGGGAGCAGAGGAGCAGAAGAGGTAACATACGGTGTGTGTGTATGTGTGTGTGTGAGGCAGGGGTGTGGGCGTGGGTGGGGTAGGGTGGAGGGTGAGGGGGTGGCAGGGCATTATTTATTAATAGTATGTGTTATGTACAGCAAGTATCAATAGTTTATCTCATCCTCGCTAATTTTATAAAATTTCATTAGGACTATGGCTTTTTTAGATCATTAAAATAGTCTGCATAGGCAGGATTTTAAATGATTTTAATAAGTACTTTATATACCTTGGGGAAAAAATAAATAACCTCAAGAATCAGAAAGGACTGATGGGGTATCAACTTATAACACACTTTCATAAAGAGCTATAATGGAATTTCTAGAGAAATTTTTTCAAAAGTCTAATCATCTTCAT